TCGACGAGGCACTCCCCGATGATCTTCACCGCCTTGACGAGGTCTGCCTCCTCGATGACGAGCGGCGGGGCGAAGCGGACCCTGCGAAGAGATATCAGCATAAGAACTCTCACGAACGAGCGAAAGGGAGCAAAGACGAGAACAGGCGCGCGCCTTCTGTCGCCGTAGCACCCAACGAGACAGAAACACTCACACATTCCCATGCGTCGTCTTCGCCAACACGCCCCTCGCCTTCAACAGCAGGCAAAACTGCCACGCCGTCCTTCGCTTGTTCCCCGCGACGTCCTGCCCCCGCGCAGCGCGCGCGGCGTTGCATGCGTCTTCGTCGATGACGACCGCGTTGAGGAGGCCGAGGCCGCGCACGGTTTTGATGTAGGGGGACTGTAGGTGGAGGAGTTTAGGCAGGGGGGAGCAGGGGAGGGAGGGGAAACGGCAAGTGGAGGATGGGAAGCGGGAACAGATGCGCGGTGCGGGAGAGATGGAATAGATGGGGTGTTCGGAGTAGACGGACAGAGAAAGGGCAAGAGGGACGGGAATGAGGGGAATGAGGGAAGAGCGGGAGAGAGGTGGTACAGCATGTAGGAGACGGAGCGTCTAGAATGGGCAAGAGCCAAAGAGAGATGAGACGCACCTTAAGCGCAAGCACCGACGAGCGGAAGACCTCGCCCAGACGCGCCGCGCGCGCGGAGAGGTCCTCCTCCACCAGGACGTCCAGGGCCGTGATCGCGACGGCGCAGGCGAGGGGGTTTCTGCGGGGCAAGCCGTAGCGGGCGATTCAGGTCGAGACGGCGCGGGGAGAGCACAAATGCATGGTCGGGTCGAGCTCCGACTCCCAAAGGAGGGGCAAGGGCGCGGGTAGCAGCCCGCAGCGCTCCACCGCACACAAACAAAGAAAAACACAGAAACCCACTCACCCCCCATACGTACTCCCATGCTCCCCGGGCTGTATGCACAGCATCACGTCTTTGTCCGCCAGCACCGCCGACACGGGGTACACCCCGCCCGAGAGCGCCTTGCCGAGGACCACGATGTCCGGGCGGATGCCGGCGTGGTCGATGGCGAGCATCCTGTGGGTTGGGTTAGTCGACTTTTGGAAGCGGGGGAGAAGCAGGGAAAGGAAGAGGAGGAAGGGCAGGGGATAGAGGGTAAGGTCGGTGGGGGACGTCAACAAGCCAAACGACGAGCAGCACGCCCGCCCGCCCTTCGCATCTCGAGCAACATAGTACGGTGCGTTCGAGAGCGTCGTACGGGTGGTCCATAAGAAACGAGGACAAGCGAGAAAATGAGGAAACGAGCAATGAAACGCCAACGCACTTCCCAGTCCTCCCCAACCCCGTCTGTATCTCGTCGCAGATCAGCAGCACGTTGTGTTTCTTGCAGAGCGCGGCGACGGCGGGGAGGTAGGTCGGGGGCGGGACGATTATTCTGTGGGCAGAAACAGAACGTGGTTAGTATTGGTTGGGAGACCAGGGAAGAGCAAAAGGAAAAAGGAAGGAAGGAGGGAAGACAGCCTGCGTTGCGGCCACGGAAGCACCGCTTGCCTCGGAAAATGATACAGTAAAGAAACGAAGAAACGACTCACCCCGCCTCCCCCTGCACCGGCTCCACCAAAAACGCCGCCACCCGCGGCCCGTGCAGCTCCAGCGCGCGCTCAAGGTCGCTGATCTCGCCTGCAAAAATAATCAGTGCTCGTTCGTGCAGAAAAGACGACCACTCACCAAACCGAATAACCCTACTGTCCCCTTCTGCCTCGGGGTCCACAAACGTCGGCCCCACGTTGGGGAGGTACGGCCCGAACCCGACGCGCGCGGAGGGGTCTGTGGACATGCTGATCACGCCCAGCGTGCGCCCGTGGAAGTTGTCCGCGACGCTGAGTACGATGGCTTCGCCCTCGGGGACGCCTTTGCCTGCAATTTCACCACATTAGAATTGATCGGGAAGCGTGATGGGTAGAGAGGGAACAGAGGAGAAAACACGCACGCAAATACGCCCACTTCCTCGCGAGCTTGAGCGCGCTCTCGACCGCCTCGGCGCCCGTGTTCATCGGGAGGACCTGTGGGAGACGATTCGATTCGTCAGTATTGTGTCTTTGCACCATTGTAAAAGGAAAGAGGAAGAGGAAGAGAAACGGCTGAAAGTGAAAGGAAAGAGAGGGCCGAATGTAGGGGAAGACGCGTGAGGGAGACGACGACAGAGCGGCCATCCCATTCGGCGCGTGCTGCGTGACGCGACCTCGTCCTCGTTTACAGAATGTACACCGACACGCGCGACAAAAACGCGGGCTTGTCTCGTGCTTCCATGCGCGGTGACCCTCCCCCGCTCCCTCGCCCTCGTCGACAGAATGCACACCGACACGCGCGGTGCCCCTCCCCATATACACAAAAAAACGCCACTCACCATCTCCCACCCAAACACGCCCCCCACCCGCTCCGCGAAGCGTCCAAAGACGCTATTGTGGAACGCGCGCGAGCTGAGGGTGAGCTTCTGTGCCTGCGCGACGAGGGCGGCGACGATGCGCGGGTGGCAGTGGCCTTGGTTTACGGCGCTGGAGGGGAGGGGTTAGTATGTGGTATATGAGGGGAAAGGAGAAGGAGGGGAGGGAAGAGGAGGGGAAGGGGAAGGGGAAGATGGGAGTGGAGGAGGGTGAAGAGAGGGCGGGAGGGGGGCAATCGCGCGGTGCCGAGATGAAAGCGCAGTCCCGCCGGCGAAGTAGTAGATGGGAGCGCAAGGTCATCACGCTGTTATGGTTGGCTCGAGCGGGCGTAGCTAGATATATAAGAGAAAGCAAAAAGAGGCACGCACGAATACGCCGAAAGCATATCGATGTACTCCCTCCCTTCGGGGTCCCATACCCTGCGTAGTGTCGTCAGTTCTCTTCTCGTACATCTGGGCGAAAACAACGCACTTGGCTCCGAGCGCACGGTCAAAGACCACGGGGAGGGGGTGGTAGCTAGTGGCGAAAAGCGCGCAATCAGTATGGGTGTTATAAAAGAGGGGAGATGAAAGACGGAACGAGATGTGCTTGTAATGAGGTGCGTTTGGCGCTCCCTACGCAGGACCAAGTCGACTGGCGAGAGCTACGCAGGACCAAGGAGGAAAGGCGGGAAGCAGGCACGGCCAGGACCAAGTCGACTGGAATGCAAGACGTTCGTTCGCCACCTAGTGGAGGGGCAGGGTACTCACTTGTGTGCGCCGTGCTCGTTCTCGAGGCGGATGAGCTCCGTCGAGCTGAGGTGGGCTTCCTTTCCGTTCTTCGCGACGCCATTGCCGTTCACATGCGTCCCGTTGGCGCTGCCGTTGACGCCGTTCTTGGCCTTCATCGCGCCGTTCCCATTGGTGGCGGGCGCCGTAGTGGTGGTAGCCGATGGAGACATGTGTTCTGTGAGGTAAGGTTTCTTTCTTTCTTGCGCTTGCGCTGATTGTGTAGATTTCTCGCTTGTGGTGGTACGGGTACAAGAATACTCGGCTGTCGACGATCGTGACTCGCTCAAGCTCCGCCCGCCCGTCTTTCTATTCTGCTCCCTCCTGTCCGGTTCATCCGGCATCTCCATGTGGTGCTGAGCTCCACTGCGTCGACGTCGGCGAGGTCGGTCATTGTCAAGACGCCGTGCTCTTCGGGCTATCGCTCTATCTCGCGTCGGCCTCAGTTGGCTTCGAAATGAACTCCTCTGGCTTGGCAGTGGCTCCCAACTCAAGTTATTCTCGCACCCTCAATCCCGTCGGTGTGCGAACTCTCCCGCGCCAGCATCCTTGCTCACCGTTCACCGCTCAGGGGCAAAGATAAGAGCAGTTACAGCGGCCTCGTTCCGACTCCAGCCCTTCATTCGCTCATTCGTCATTGGTTCAAGCTATCAAACACCCTCAATTCTGACGTCGACGTGACCAGCCCTCTCGAGATTCGCCACATGCTACTACGCCACACCCTCGATCCTGACGCCTCTGCTCTCGCGCCCAACACGCGCTTCCAGATGCCCATCAACCAACCTGAGGCTCGAATCCTAGATTTCGATATGCAGCCGCAACTTTGCTATCGTCGGGATCAACTCCAACCTCGCGCTTGGCCTGGTACGTACCTATCTCGTCGTTAAATTCCCGAGTCCGCACTCGCTCCGACTCCGAGCCTTTCCCTTTCGCAGTCGTCCGTTCGGATGACTGGACCACTTGTATATATGTATTCGTGCTTTCAATACAATCCTTTCGACAGACACAAAATCTGTTCATGTCCCAAAACCTGGGTTTTGCCTATAGCGCTGATGACCGATGCTGATGGGGTTTGCCAGTGCTGATAAGCAGTTCAATTGAGGAGATCATCAGTTATAAGCAAGGATATTCAAAGTGGGTGGGTCATAAGCGAGTATCATCACGTGTAGGCAGAGCGATTTTGCAATCCTGTATTTGACAGAGAATCAACATTGAACAGTCCCACCGTGTCTACTTTTGACTTGACTGGCTTTCAACAACTCCATTTTCTGGGTTTCCAAAGCTGTGGAGCTCGTGTGAAGCCTCCAATCTGCGGCCCGAGCAAGGTACATAACTCAAGTGATGTCATTCCGAAATTTATTTATGCATGTATGTGTGCCTGCCCAACATGACTTGAGATGTCTACATTCGCCATTTGCTGATGTTGACTTTGCCGACTTAATTCTGACTACTTACTAACTTCAGATACCTTCGCAATCATATGATATAAAAGATCTTCTGACTTGAAGATCAAGAGTAGTTTTTGCCGTTTCAAGCAGAGTGACGTACACACTGACCGCTGAACAACGCTTACGACTGACTTCAGGCTTGCTTATAACTGATTAACTGCTTTAAAGCCCCGGACATAAGGGGGGTACCTGCTGACGGGGTTTATAACCAACTACCAGCGGTGACCAGGGCTGGTCGGCAGTTTAGGTTTTTTCCGACACACCACGTCTCCGGCGACGGGATTCGAAACATAGAGCGGCGAGGACATACAGCCGCCCATAAGACAGACAAAAACAAGCAAAGAAAATACACGACCTGGCCCCGGTTTGAACGGGGGTCTCCTGCACAATGTTGCACGAAGATTCGATGATGATCAAGTAAAGCAGGTGTGTTGCCGTACACCACCAGGTCTACATACCTACTCTATATACCTTGTTCAAACATGGATGCCATTTGTGTGCTCAGATAGACCCACCGAAATGAACTGAAATAAAGTTTCCAAGGCTGACAAGCGGCAGGGCCTGCTACTTGCCGGTTGATTTCAACGACGAAAATCAGGCGAAATGGGCGGTCCAAAGCTTCAGTCAGCGCTTTCGCACCAACCAGCTCGCATTGGATTGGGCCGCAAGCAGTCTGAAGCTAGTCTCCCTAGTCAGACCAATAAACACGTGTTTTTTTCTTTTAGAGAGTGAGGTGGGAAAAAAAACTGTTTATGGTCTGATTTTGTTCACGCGTCAAATACCGTAGGTCGACCTCTGGGCATCTCGGCAACCAAATCGGGAAGATCTTCCCTGTTTGGTCGTGGATGTTCCCACGGCACATGCGAGCACCAACTGGTAGTGGAACAATAAGCCCTTCTCGGCAGTCCAAAGAACTTATGAAGCCGTTCTAACCCTCCTACGACATTTTATCGACACAAGGGTTTTTATCTGAACCCATGTTGCATCAAAATGCTCGCGATGTGGTTATACTTCGTGCGCACGTGACTGCCAACCGCGACCCACGGTGTCAACCCATCAAACAAATATAGACTAGTCTGAAGCCGAAATTGAGTCCTTTCATAATCAGAAAGTGAATGAAGTTTGTCACTCGGGCAACACTATCGCGTCGACCGGCTCGTATTGGGCCTCAACCAACTTGAACTGAGTCATAAATCACATTTTCCAGCACACTGCCAGTTTACAAAATGTCTCAAAAAAAAAAAAGGTGTGTAACTCAACCACATCTTTCAATCTTCAAGCATAATTGTGAGTTCTCCAAAGGTTGTGCACGCAAGGTTGCAACCTGATGTCTGAATGACCAACCGTGATTATGAGAGTCCTGATAACAATCGACGGCACAGTTTCGGCAGCAGGACTTTTGGCGGAGAGAACCCATACTGACGCGAAAAGAATGACAAAAAATGGGATGGCCCGCCAAAAGTCGATTGATTGGGCGCCCTACAAGTTAGAACCATACCTAAAGGTAGGGGAATAAAACATACAGAAATCCGAACTAAGCCTAGTCGAATACTAGTACTACTACTATTCCAACTCTCTGCATACCTGCAAGAAAAAGGAAAACAAACCGGGAGAAGTGGCATGACCTGGCCCCGGTTCGAACAGGGGTCTCCTGACTACTTGGGAGAGGTAGAGGAAGCTAGAGCAAGTGTGCTGCCGTACACCACCAGGCATGTATACCCTAGTTCAACCATGAATGTCATTGGATTCAATCTGTATGACTGTTGTCAATGCTGCTTTGACTGAGCTTTTTGGTAACCCATGTAAAGCACGTCATGGGCGGAGCGTGGTACCCAGCTGCTACTCTGTGCCTTTGAGCCGAGCCTTCCTGACGAGGCCAAGTCTAAATCCTGGGCTCGTTTGAAAACACTTGAACCCAGAAAATTCAAGGATCAAACAAACTCTGGAGTCTCAGGTTGAGGACATCCATACAGCTGCCCATAAGACAGAGAGAAAAAACAGAGCTGAAAACTCACACAACCTCTCCCCGGTTCGAACGGAGGTCTCTTTGAAAAGACGATAATGCAAACATAGCTGGTTGTGTTACCATACACCACCACGTCTGTACACCCTTGTTCAACCGTGAATGCCATTGGACTCATCCTCACGACTATTGCTGCTTTCACCGAAATTTTTCGGTAACCCGTGCAAAGCACATCATGGATGGGGTGTGGTACCTATCTCACCACTACTATTTCTCGCCTCCGCGGGCTGAGCCCTCCTGACAAGGCCAAGTCTGAATCTTGGGCCGGGTCAACCGCATATTCTAATGTGTTGTATGTACTTCATCCTTGTCAATAATATTGCCAATCACCCTTTCTGCCTGTCCCTCCTACCCCCCTCCCCGCCTGACACCTGCATGTCCAGAAATCCGAAAACCCGACGAACAACAACTGAGTTCAAGCTCTTTCATACCTCGCAAACTAACAAGACACATACCGCAAACCAATTGAAACAAAAAGCGACAACTGAATATCATACGCAAGACCTGACCCCCGTTTGAACAAGGGTCTCCTGCTTAAATGACACAATAGCTGAATAAATACATAAAGCAGGTATGCTGCTGTATGTACACCACTAGGTCTATACATGCCCAGTTCGCTGCACTGTGGATGTTATATTTATGCTGTTTTGTTCAACCTCCATGCTAAAATACATTTGTTCGTCCACTCATTCTCTGCCCAATCCAATTGCCCTTTCTATTGTGCTTGTCAGGTAAACTACCTGCCTGCGTGCCAGAAATTCGAACCAAGTCCCTTGATTCCTGAAGATTCTAACCTCTGGAGAAATTGGGGGAAAAATCATGACCTGGCCCCTGGTCGAATGGGGATCTCCTGCTCGCACCGGTGGAGGATTTACAAGTGAAGCAGGTGTGTTTCCATACACCACCGGGTCTGCCTCCATATGTTCAATACTATATAATAAAGGTGCAGTGGACCCGCTGAATAAATAAACCAAATGATTGACAGGAGGAGCTACAACCTGGCCCTGGTGTGAACAGGGGTCTCTGTTTCCGTACACCACCAGGTCTGTACCCTAATGTTCAACTGTGGATGTGATCAGATGGAGTTGAGTCACTCTTGCTGAACTGAACCTAACCAAACCATTTGAATCTGCACCGAGTCTTGTCAAAGGAATTGAACCATCTCCGGGCACTTATAGCTGCCAGCAAGATACAGAAAAAAGGCTTAGCTTTGAGTGAAACAGTGGCATGACCTGGCCCCGGTTTAGTGGCAGAAGTTTTCTGATGACAGCCTGCACAAATTGTTATAGTGTGTCTGTCTATGGGAGACTAGTAGAAACAAGCAGCTTTCCGTGCCAGGGTTCCAAGTATGTGGGTCCGATAAAGAATTCTGTAAACACCACCGCTGTGGCACCCCAGGCCCGTTGACGAGTTTGTGGTGGGCCCAACCAGACACAGGATGTTCACAAGTAAAGAAATTTTGTCTGGTGGTCAATGGATTGCGTTGAAGCCCAGATTTGAGATGGTATGATGTCTTGCAGCAGAATTGTTTCCAGGAGGCAGTAATACACTGCTGATGAAGGCATAACATGGGTCTACCAAGATTTGTCGCATCAATTCGCTCTCCAAATCTCTCTCTTTATAAAATCTTGTGCATCTGTCTGAAACATAATTTTGGCTCTTCAGGCCCATGGCTATGGTGCCAGCATCATCTAAAGCTTAATTCACATCTTCTGCTTCAATTGAAGTGGTGGGGCACTTTGCACCCACCATGTTTTTGTTAGGGATCCCCACCGTACCGTATGCAGTTACAGCCATACAAATGCAGTATATATACAGTCCATTGAATGGCACCCAGAGGGGGTGGGTGAGCCTCAGTACAATCAAATGGTCTTTGTCTCACTTTCTTTGGACCTCTTTACACCTTTAGATCCCACTGCAGAGTCAGCCTTGCAGCTCCTTGTCAACTTTGAAAATTACTGTACCGTTGAAATGGTGCACTTACCACATGACCAGAAATAGCTAGGGTTATGGTATTGTGAACAAACACCAAAACAACCACACTACAACAATCTATCCTCCAAAGATCCAAGTGCTTCTCTTTGTGAGTTCAGGTCCAGGCCATAGTATGCAACCAGCAGGTTTGAACAAACACAAGTTTGATTAATAGGCTTCTACAACACACTCTACAACCCGCTAGCAATATGCAACCACCAATAACAACACTGCTAGGAACCTTGGGATGGTCCTTGGGTTGGTTATATGCGGTGGGTACAAGATGGCTGGACTGCTAGGTCGAGAACACCAGGGCAGAGGTTTGTAGGTTTATGAAAATCCTCGCTTTAGATAACCTAAAGACTACTGAGGCTAACACCAAAAGACTCCAAGTCTCAAATGGCAAGACTATCCTTGACCATCAACCTATTCCTTGACTGAGAACCGGAACATTTCTGCTTTTATCAGCACTAGCTCACTACAAGTGTCCAGCTATCGACCCAAGCACACTTCCATCAATATTGGGGTGAAGGTGAAGTAACAGCCAAACTACAGGTGGGGGCACCTAGTTCGTCTACTACTTGGTAGGCTCAAGTCAACACACAATCACCTAGCAGGCAATCCAACACACTACAACAGTGCTTCCATCAATATCAGGGTGAAGACAAAGCTACCAGCACAACTGCTATTGGTTCTCAAAGAGAACACCCTTGTTTTATATGTGGAGGTCTGCTAAAACCAACAACATGAAATCCTCAACTTAATCACTCGATGTTCCAGAGTCAACAGTTACTGATTCCAATATAAGACTACTACAAGTGAAATATAATAACAATTGTTGGAAATACAACCCGTGACTGTGTTCAACCCACTTGAACTCCGCATTGCAAATTCAACCATTGCACATGCTCTTATATTTTATCCTATCTCGTTGCCTTGTTTCAGCTCCATCTTTCACATGTACCTCATAGCTACAATACCAATTACCCACTGACTCATAGATAAGCAGTTTGTATAAATACCTAGCTACTTCTCTAATAAATTCAGTCTGTTATTTACTTGCGGACCACCCATCAATTTAACCTTCCCATAGGTTATAGGTCCTGCCCCTCGCATCTAAAGAAACCCTTACCACTTTGTTCATCCTCATCTCGCACCTGCTTGTTGAAATTTTATTCATTGAACCGAACCATCCACAGTACAATGTCCTTTAACACATCCACCAAACTCGGAGACGACTTCCTGCGAATCCCGAAGCTTGAAGTCACTGGAACGAATTGGGTCATTTATAAAGACCGATTCCTCTGGGCTCTTGATACACGAGGCCTCGTGGAGCATCTTGCTGTTGATGCAAGTGCGCTGGAGGATCCGCTCTCGGCCATTCGAGATGCCGAAGTTCCAGTCGTTTTGACTGCGCAACAGACGGCACTTGAGATGGAGTGGAAGAAAGAGAC